CGGAATATTAAATGAGTGGTAGGAATATCGAAATTCCATCCGGGTCACGAAACAGCGCCCACAGATGAAAAAACCGTGAAGTTTAATCGCGTTTCGGTTTTAGTCTGTGGATTTGCGAATATTCAGAGCGAAAATAGGGCGACAGCGCATCTTGTTTAAATGTTATATGCCTGGGGTATTTCACCTACCATCAAGTGAACCCCGATGTCTGTCTTCCTCCATCATGAAAGAACACCCATGTCGGACAAGGCAACATCAGAGAAGATTCGGAAGTGCGCTTAGCGCTTCGTTTGCTTTTCCACGAAGGACGCGCAAGACATTAGGGAATAACTCTAAGTTTGAAGCTTACTGGTTGTCGAGCAAAAAGTAAAGGTTTTAAATAAAACACTTTAACGGTTTAAAACGCGATATATTAGTTAAACTTATTTGAAAATGATTTTTAACTTCGGCCCGACGTTTCGGATGCTTTGCAGCAGCCGTAGCCACGGGGACAATTAATATATCGCGTTTTAAACCGTTAAAGTGTTTTATTTAAATTCTATGACGCAAGACTTGAACCGGCATCTAAAGCGATTTGTGCTGTTGCTCTAATCAATTTCGCTACTGTTCACACTCATCGAATTTCTTCAACACATACAGTACAAACACATGCACAAATAGTAGTTTTTCAAAAGTTAAATGCCGGGACCATATTACGTTTTAATATTAAATCTCTTTATGTGGCATTCACTTGAATAAATGTAACAATAAAATAATTTACATAAAAATAAATTTGTTGCCAAAGTGATCTTACGTTTGACTTTCAGCAAAACCCTACTGTACGTCAACATTTGATATTTTAAATAACAGTTACTTTAGCGTAATCATTAAGTAGGTAATGTATTAATAACTATTGCAATTATTGGTGTAAAGAATCAGAACTTTTCTTTCACACCCCTATTTACGCTGAAGATGACGATAGAATGTTTTGAAGCTAAATAGACTATTGTAATTATGGTATTAATTTTCATTTGGTCCCAGAGATGATCAGGCCCCTGATGACCCGAATGAAGCACAACGTGTGCTTAGATAAGCCGCTCACACTTTCATCATTTCATCAAGAAAAAGTCTTGCAAATCACTTATTATCCTAGATAGAACATATCGCTTACATAAGTGTATCAATCTAGGGCTGTCCAAAATAATTTGGTGCGTATTAGGACTTCTATCGTCTTCATTATATATTTTTTTATCTTTTAAACGCTCGTGAGCTTTTAAGCTAAAAATAGTTGCTTTTTGCACAAGCCCGCTGACATATTAATTCTTTTATTCACTTTTTACAGTTTGATAACATCCAAAACGTTGGGTCGTAGTTACGTTAGTTTGAAACGCCTAATTTATAATTAATAGGTAATTTTAATAAAAGGTAATTTTTATAATAGTAGAAGCGTGAAAAGTGGATTAATTGTATGGTCTTTGAGGTAAAAATAAATTATTATTAAATAAATAATTTAATAAGTTACCTTAGAATTAACCTTACCTTGTAAATTAGACTATCAAACGTTTATAAAACATAGATATAAAAATACAATTAAGTACGTTTCTCCCAGGCGGGAAAAAAATTTTTTTTCCCAAAAATTTTCCCCCCATAATCATACTTATCAAAACAGAGCGTACATAACTACGTACGTAGTTAACATGCAGAGTTTTCTCTCTGTATGTTAATTAATTTGTCTGTAAAACTTTCTGTTCATAACACTTTTTGTTTTAAAAATGTTTACATAAATAGAATAATTCGCTCTTGAACTTTTCGCCCAAACGACTCGGTCAGTCCATGCCAGAAATATAAAGTTATGTCATTAATAGTTTGAAAACAGATGACATAATTCCGAATCCACATTTTGCCCCGCGGGCGATTTTTGACAGCCCTAACCAGCGCTATTAGTTACCAAGTGTTTAACGGTGATTACCAGACAGACACGTCATAAATCAATGCCGATGATTCATTGGCTTCGCGAAATGGGTTTTTGCCAATCGTATTTGCATAATACGAAAATTGTAGGCAGATTTTTTTTTTTAATGATATGAGGTGGTATAAGGTGATGAATTCACTTGATAATAGGTGGTGTACCCCAGCCTATGGCATCTATATAAAATGCACTGTCGTCCTTTTTTGATTTTGGATATTCTGAAATCCACTTTTTCATACGTGGACAGTGGTAGTCACGCCGAGTAGAATTTCTATATTTCTACCACCATTTCCAGAAGTCCAACATTTTTCAGAAAATATATAAATTGAAAAATTAGAAACACGTATAGTTTAGCGAGTAGTACGTGCCATTTAAATAAAACACTTTAACGGTTTAAAACGCAAAATATTAGTTAAACTTATTTGAAATAATTTTAACTAATATATCGCGTTTTAAACCGTTAAAGGGTTTTATTTAAATTAGAAACATGTTGGACCTGGTGGGAATGACCGACCCGTTGATTATTATTAGTCATACATTGCTACCACTAGACCATGGCGCGCGTCAAAACAAATTAATTGACAATAGTTTTTTCAAGATTTATAAATTAAAAATCGAACATAAATTTCTGAGACTTCTGGGTCCCCCTTCCGTGCTGTTGCTCTAACGAATTGAGCTACCAATAAATAATGATAATAAATTAGTTAGAAACAGCAAGGAACGCTGTAGATGCCGGTTCAAGCCCTACCCAGTCGTAAATTTTTTAAATTTATTTTTTTTATGCCATCAATAAATAACATGTCAAAAATATTAAAGCTTCAAATGTTCAAGCTGATGAATGATTCCTCTTGATAAAACAACGGGACACGGACATCATGGCTAATATCAATTATTTATAAAAATAAGGAGAAGGTTTTTGAAATCAAATTTTATGCGGAAATATCGCTAGCCAGCCATATTTACTAAAACAATGTAACGGTTTAAAACGCCACTACGTAACTTATTTACAATTTATCATATAGACCCCGTTTCCGATGCTTTGTAGCACCCGTGGTCAAATATTAATTATTGTTTAAGATTGTAACTATATTAAGAAGCAAAGCGGGAGTAACGTCGCCCGGTAGTATGTAGTACTCTTATAAGAAACTTAAATGAAAATAAGAAATCTTTACATACGAGCGTTTATCTTATCAAAAACCTGCCACAATCCCCCACCCCAAGATACCGCGCGCTACCCTCGTTCGGCCGGTTTATCGATAATACAAAATTACCCCCCAATTTTTTATTGTACTTGGTATTAACTCTATTTTGCTTAAAATTGTTTATTTAGAAATAGTATAATAATAAATTTACAATATACTTAATATTAAGTTAAATTTTGCAGACAGACTTTTTCCTTGACAGGGTTAAGGCCGCGGATTTTAGCTCGTTTTATTTTTCAATTTTGAATAGATTTTTATAAACAAGTTGGACACAGAGGGAATCGAACCTACACCCTAAACATCGCTGTCAATCGACCAATGAGCATGTCCAAGGAAAAGAAAAAACATTGACAAACTGTATAATAACTTTATTTGAAAACTTAAATTATACATTACAGTCTTATAAAAATACAATTCGTATTGTTATTGTATCATATAGATGCTATATTTTTGCTTAAAAATATTGGAAGTTACAGAAATTTGTAAAAAAAAAGATAAGTTTATCAAAATTAAAATGGTCTCGCACCGTTAAGTGGTAAAACTAATTGTAATTTTTCAAATAACAAGAACGTACACAAAACTACATTGTAAAAAGTCTAACGACATCTAAAGAATAAAAGTATTCAAAAATATATATGCCTATATATCACTGGTGGGTATTATAAAATAAATAAGGAATGTAAGAAAAACAAACAAGCAACAATTAAATATAGAACTACCCTCAAAGCAAAATCAAATTTAATCCAATAGAAAGAATTGATAGAATTGGACTGTAAAAATAATCATGTTTATTGTAAAATAGACTTTAATGTATTGTAGATTAAAGTTGATTTTGGTTTAAAGGTGTTTAGGTTGGTCAAATATTGGTGTCTTCTCACGCGTTCGTTGTAATAGACTAGGAATATACTTATAATTCCGAGCATAGAAATTCTTTAACATAAAAATCAGTTAAGTTAACTTAATTTAAACAGTTTTTACGACACTTAATAGATAAATAATACAAGTGTTAAACTAGAATATTTACATTATTTACAAAAAATGTGATTCGAATCACTATTTATAAGAAAATTGTGATTTACTATCTCTCACACAGTTTGTCTCGCTCACGCGTTAGGTGGTATAGAGGGAGTTAACCTACGAATGATTTTCTACAGATTATAATACAATTCTGATTTGAAATAAGGCACTAATTTCATTTGTATAAAGTTAGTTTGCAGTTATTATATGCAAGTTCTAGTGTTTCTTCTTAATAGCAACTAATATGCAATGATGTAATTATCACGAAATAAAAATATATATATATAAATAGTAGAACATTATCATCATACGTTAAATATCGGGGTGAAACCGCCAAATTGCAAAACGACAGTAATAATTGTAACATAAGTCTTATATAAAAAAAAATCCCTTAAGATTGAAAAAAAAATGACGACACTGGCAGGAATTGAACCGGCAGTGTTTTGTGCCGCTCTAACCAACTGAGCTAACGTGTCGTAAATTTATTTCTTGATAGATTTTTTATTTACACAATGCCATCATGTGAAAAATTTTACTTTCCCTACATAAGAATTACGTTTGAAAACTCTGGCAAAGAAACAAAATGGCGGAGTTGACTATTGAATTTTTGACATTTAAATTTTTTTGACATATGACATTTGACAACCAATCAGCGCGCACGATTTGTGGCGTCATATGGCGCAATATACAAATAGATCGTTTACAATCTCACAATAACATATAGAAATATCTCCAAAAAAAGTATAAAGCTGTAAAAGTTACTAAAATACCTTTGTGCATTGATTAACAACCATTTTGCGCGTCTTACCATAAAGTGCAAGTGTTATTATTAGCTACTTTAGTTTCACTGTGGAAACATCCACCAATCCATCCCATATAGGCTTGATAAACTTCAGAAGCCGGAGCACCTGCGGATTACCAAAGAATATGTCCAAGGGCGGATCCAGCTTTGGCGCCAGGAGGGGTTTCTCGGAGTTAAGGCGTCCGGAGCAGGCAGCGAGGGTCTAACCCCATGACCCGTTGAATGTGTCACTCAATCACTAAAAACTTTTCGCACTTTTGCACTATGCAACCAAGTCCCTAAGTTTTGTCTTTAAGAGTTTCACTTTTTTATTCACAGCACTTTTGTAGTTTTTCTCACTGATTTTAGAGTTAGCGCGGTTTCGGCTCTTCGCTCTCTCGTTAAACAGTTCATAGAAGTTCGGTAGCGGGGTGTCTACTAAACGTTGGCCGATATTGGTCGAGCCGCTTTGGTACACCGCCATGTTTTGTATGAAGTGCGTAAACATGGCCGTTTCAGTGAACCACTCTAAGAAGTATTGGTTTTGTTTCGATGACGTTTGCTTGATGAACGCGTCCTTCTGCAAAGAAACAGAATCTGTTGTAGCTGATAAAACATTAAAATGACCTTTTTATGCATTTTTAGAAAGACAAAGGTTAGGTGCAAGTCTTATGGATCATATTTTTTAAAACTCTACTTTGTCAAAAATATATTATATATTTAAATAAAACACTTTTAACGGTTTAAAACTACGACGTAACTGACGACTATTTTTACATAAGGGACAGCCTCCATCTTCCTCCCGTCTCCCCGTGACCACGGCCGCTGCAAGGCACCCGAAACTTCGGGCCGGATTTAAAATGATTTGCAAAAAAGTTTAAGTAATAGCTAGCTAGTTACACATTACAAATTCAGACTCAAAAACAATTATTACCCCTTTTAACACATCGCATTTATGTATTTTATTTTAATACCTAATATTTAAATAAAATACATAAATAAATAAAAATAAACGGTTTTGACTCATCTTTAATTTCTCTAACTTTCGAATATCCAAAGCAAAAATAGTTAGATAGCGCATCTTGTATGGCTTAACACTTTAACGGTTTAGAACGCGATATATTAGTTAAACTTATTTGAAAATGATTTCTGCTCCAAAGCATCCGAAACGTCGGGCCGAAGTTAAAAATCATTTTCATATAAGTTTAACTAATATATCGCGTTCTAAACTGTTAAAGTGTTTTATTTAAATGTGTACAACTCGCGTCAACTATAGACAGTATTTGAGTGTACTTCAGGTTTGTCTGTCCTTAATAAAAAAAATATAATAGCAACTTACATCAAATACGACGCCATTTTTCCCCAAATCGCCGTCCACCATCTCTCGCTCGGTGAAAAACTTGGAGAAATCACCCAAAATGTCGACGAAGAACCTCAGGAACGCTTCCGATATCATCACGTTTCGCGTCTTCGTGTCCTGTTTGTCTTTCTGCTTGTTGGACTCCATGTTCAGGGAGGTTTTTAAGGTTTTGTAGCTGTTCGTGGGTAGAATGGTTGATTCATCGCCTTGGTAGAAAAGAACTTTGTTCGGGTTCGTCAGATCTATTAACATTCCCTGGAAGAATATACATAAGAACTTTAATATAAAGCCAACGGAACGCTGTGGATGCCGGTTCGATCCCTGCCCGTGTCGTGTCCCGCAACTACTGTCCACAGGTGAAAAGGCAGCATAGTTTAATTGCGTTTCGCTTTCAGCATGTGGCTTTCCAAATATCCAAAGCCACAATAGATCGACAGCTCATCTTAACGTAACGCCCTCGTCTCATCACACATTACACCTCTTGTAAGGTAGAATTGAATTAACAATGTAAAAATTCCTACCTCTTCGAACTGCACATTAGCATCAAAGTCTGCCGCTTTGAGCATTCCAGCCAGTATTGGCAGAGGTGCTTCTAGGACGTCCCGTTGAATCTCAGAAGGAATCGTCGATATCAATGGTTGTTGCCACACTAACGGATAGAGGGCGCTTTGTAAAGCTTCCATACATGACGAAACGATACTATAAAAAAAAACAATAAATTATATAGAGATTTCCTGAACATTTTGCAAAGGCAATATTGTCTGTACTTTACGCGTTGTACCTAAGGTCGAAAATAGCTTGCTTCTTCACTTCGTCGACGAACGCGTAAACGTAGGATCAATTTTTCAATTACGACGACTATAGTTCGAAAAGTTAAGATAATAAACAACATTGAGAAACTTACCCTAACTGGTCGCTGACGATGACAACTTTTCTCTCCAGGAGTAGTGATCCAAAAACCTTAATAACAAGTCCAGCTCCTAACTTGTCCAGAAGAAGAGACATATTGTCCTCATCAGCTCTTGGTTCGATCGGACGCTTAATTATTCTTGTCCTGGTAGTCACATTTACTTATGTCATTTATTTATTTATTTCATTATAAAAATATTCTAACATTACAGAACAATGTCCATTGCGATAGAACTATTTAGTACATATTTCATGTAGTGATGTTCTTGTCAAATCACACAAGCTACACGTAAAAATGTCGATCCCCTCCTGCAGCTTATTGATAACACCCAAAGCACGAACAAGAGGGGATTTCATCAGTAAGGTGGTGCGTGAGTACGGTAGCGCAAGTAACGGTGGTCGTAATCGCCTCCACACGTATCGGTCCGGCACTGACAAGTGTAAGGACTGTAGAACTCCTGGGTTCAACTCTCGACCCCGCAATACTTTTACCAGATATATCACAAGGAATAAGTCCCTCCGTACCTTCAATTAATTGTACCCGACCATGCCTAATACAAAAAGAGTCGGATACATTAAAGGATAAAATGGATATACATACATTCTTTGGTACAAAATGCCTAACAAATGTCATGTACAACTTCATTTATATATAGGTCATAAAACTATCGCAAGAGAAATTTGTGTTTGTCTGTTTGTTTTTTTTTTAAAGAAAATTAAACGATCGGTTGACGAAAGTCAACTTTTATTTGCTATAACTTATTCTATGCTACTAACTATAGTAGTTAGTACACCACAAACTATATAATATAACAGTACACCGTTTAAAAGGATTTTGGCTGGTAGTAACCACCCAGTGGTTCAGCTAGTTTTAAATGCTATAGGCATGTAGTTTAAGAATTAAGGAGTCAGTATTTTTTTATGTCAAAGAAAGGGCAGATACGCATCAGATTCAGTTGTAGGTGAAATTCCACAGCCAAAAAACGTCTAGACAAGATGCGCTGTCGATCTATTTTAAAGCAATGGTATGCTTTAGTCAACTAATTCATCACACTACTGTGGCCAGCCCCGTCCACAATGATTTATCGTTACTTTTGTGTGTAGTTAGAAATATAACTTACCTTGGACTTTCAAGACAAATCATGACCCTTTTCGGGCTATTATTATTCTCCAAATCGTAAAACTCCGGCAACTCGTGCTTCTCCAGACTCTCCTTATCTAACACTATCTCCTTCTCCCTCTGAATCGACGCTTCCGTCTCGTTCTCTTCCGCTACCGACTCGGTCTTAACGCTTATATTGATTGAGACTTCGCTTTTCCTCGGCATCGTTTTGCTTTTGAATACCTCGCCTAAGCTTATCGAGTTTCTGGTAGTTTCCTTCGCGGATCTGTTATAGGTGATTGTTATCTGTTCGCCTGGGTTCGGGAAATCCGTTTCGAACAGTTGCTGCAGTATTTGACTGAGTTCTATTTCTGGGTTGCCGTGGTGCGATTCGATTTCTTGTAAGATCTGAAACATAACGAAAAATATATATATCACATGGTAAGGTTTAATTACAAAAAAAAAACTAGCTGCGTCAACAACTTCGTAAGCATAGAATAGTTATTTTGGGTAATATTTTTTTGAAAACCTGTTCAACTTATTTAATTTAAGCTGTTACCCACGACGGCGTCCGCGTCCCGTTGTTCTAGCAAGTTAATCTTAAAAGATATACGATAGATTGTCGCTATTAGATCATTTTAAGAGAAATCATTATTTCCTACATTTTTTTTGGGTATCTTGAACAGTTTTTGCAGCGTACGCCTCGCATAATGATGGATAATTTTCGCTTGTATGAGTCACAATTCTATGTTTTATAGCTTCCCTCAATAAATGCTCTAACCAACACAAAAATTAAATTTTCAACCGGTAGTTCCTGAGATTGGCGCTTCAAAAATGCAAACAAACTATTCAGCTTTATATATTAGTATAGATTCGATTTTTTCTTATATACATGCACCTCTCGCGTGTAATTTCAACAATAACGATTACTTTTGTTTAAATAGATTTTGAATTTAATAACATGTTAAAAATAATAACATTTCTAAATGGGTAAGTTTACTAACATAATTTTAATATTGGTATAAACCAGACATTAAAACAGCGCGTCATGTATCTTTGTGTTGCAAAAAAGGGCGGTCCGGGCTATCTACGGTGTGGGATCTCGGGAGTCATTAAGAGATTCCTTTAAAAATATCGGCATACTTACTGTGTACTCGCAGTATATTTATGAAAGTTATTGTATGCCCTTTAGAATAAAAGCAAGTTTAGTAAGAAAACTCCCGATACTTGATAACTTATTTTTTACTTCTGCGCAGGATTCGTTCAACGCTAAAGATCCGTGCCGCTACTTATAGCGTTGTGTACAAAAGGAAGTACACATAAAAACAAAAGATTGCGCAAGAGGTGACTAAAATTACTATGTATGTTATTTTGTGACGATTTGATTGGTTATTGTTTATGTATACTGGACTTATAAGTCATAAAAATCTTTACCTTATAATAGAAACCTGGAGCTCTATATTTTCCAATCAGACAATAGCAAAGTGGAAGACAACTCGTGGCTCCCTCTGGCAGCACGCGACGGCAATATCTAGAAATTTAGAAGTTACATTTGTTTTCTCAAATATAGCATAAATTTTGATTGTTATAAACGAGAGAGTTTCGCAGTATTAACCTGGCTAACATTAAAATGAAGATGTAAATAAATTGATGAAATGTTAAGACTCATCCTCAATGAAATTTTTTAAAACCTATCTAACCTAACCTAAGTGAAATGGGTCGACAGCCCATCTTATTTAGTATGGCTGGGGCATTTTATCTTCATTCACGTGAATTCCAGGGTCTCTACTCCTGTACCATAGAGGACTCTCCTTTATAAAGTTCGATTGATAATGATAATGACTAGCGAGGACGGGTGTTGAGAGAGGACAATCAGGGTCCTTTTAAAAAAGTGTAATCTCTTTTCCCGCCTGGGGGAATATATTTTATTTGCAGGCAGTTGATCAGACATATATGCCCTGATCGACGAAAACAATCTGTTGTTTCCCAGGGTTTCGTACCAAAAGCACGAAGGCAGTCAAGCCAACTGCCCCTTGGCTACACATAAAATAGAATTTGGAATTGTTCCTTACCCATACGCCCGTTCTCCCTTCTCATCGGTCAGAACCAGGGAGTAACATTGGGCATTCTCCTCAGCTGAGTATTCAGCTATAGTACCGGCACTTAAGGTTTCTGGGAAGATCAGGTTCTCTATATGAGGGGGTACTTGAACCTGAAAACAGAGGCAAAGATTACTATGTGCTTTAACTCATTAAACAGGTGCATTCTAGATGGCGCTATTACAAATAGTTGTTATCTGACGGAATAGTTTGACTTTTTTATTCTGTTTTTAAACTGTATTCTTCTTTTAATGTACACAGATTTCTATCTTTAGTAAAGGTAGTATGAAAATTTATTTAAGTGACATTAAAGGTCGCGTAGGGTAGACAGATATATTTTTTACTGACAAGCATTATTTTGAGAAAAAAGTATGTTCTAATTCACTAGACATCAACGACATCACAAAAGAGCTGAGGATGGACTACAAAAAGGTATTTGTCAAATATGTTATGATAAATAAATTAAATGAGATAGATTTGGGCAAAAGTGTTATCATCGCGAGAGGTGCATGTATCTAAGGTTGAAAATACAATGATGTATAGGAAACAGTAGCTCAATCGGTTAGAACAACAACACGATGGATGCCGGGTCAAGATTTTTTCAAATTTATAAAGCAATTCCTGATATCCTCCAATTCTAATTTATAACATTAACCACCACTAGCTTCTCACCTGATTCGGAAAGACACTCTTCACATACGCCTGCCCCGTCATATAATTCATTCCGACGAGCAGACACACGTTGAACAAGCCCCGCTCTCTCGCCTCAAACGGCAAAGTCAGATCCACGCACCCGGTCTTCTCATCTATGCTCAAGTTGTCAGAATGGGACCCATCTATCAGATCAGTCTCGACCGCCATCTTTGCCAGATTACTCTGTGAGGTGCGGAAGCTCTTCCAAGATCGGAAAGTGGAGTACGTGTCTACGATGTCCGATTTGTAGGAGCAAACGGAGGTTTGATGGCGGAAACGCGTTTTGACATTCTTCTGGTCCAGATACGCGACCCGAGATGAGACGCGGCGCACGTAGTTCTTGCGTTTCTCTGTGAGGCTACGGGTTAACTTGACTGACTCTGAAAGAATGGGCTCGTTGGTTTATGGTGGTAATGTATAGCTATAAATAAGCGAATCGTGAGTTCGATTCCCACCTAGTCCAACATTTTTTTATAATACAAATTTCAGTGGAAACCCAATTCAACAAACTACTACAAACGACTATAACGATTAATTATTATTAGTTTATTATTTCTCAACCTATATGAAATAATAAACTGCAAATATTTCAAGCACTCTATTCATTATCAAAAATGCCTCAAACACATTTCAAATCAGTTTATAGTTTTTCTACTACAGATTGAGCTTCGTCTGGAAGAAATATCGAAAAACCGTCCAAAGATAAGAAACGCAGAAGAACGCATCTTATTATGATGTTATATATCTAAAGTATTTCACCTTTCATCAAGTGAGCCGATTGAGAGAGAACACACAGCAAGTTTGTGTTATAAAACAGGTGTTTGTCCACTCCAATCATAAAATAAAATTAGCTGTGAATTGACATGCTTGCAATTCGTTTTTTATAAGTCCCGTTTGACAGCCAGTAGTTGGTCGAGGCGCTCGCATCAAAGCCTCGGGAACGAAGGATTCTAACAGTTTCAAAATATAACTGATGTATTTTGTAAATATAATATGTACTCGAGTAATATTTACGGGTGCCCATTCTATGAAACGGGGCTAATATGAATTACCTTCGCTGGTAGCATCCGATACGTCAGTGGGAAAGCTTCCCGGTTTGTTTTCGTCCATGTTGCAGGCAGCCGTTACCGTCTCGTAGATCTCTGTCATTAGACGATTTAGCTGTAACATAAACAAGGCTTAAACATATATCGGTTTGTGTTTGTTGACGATTATATGAGTTAACATAAGAAGAATAAACTGCTGTGCTTTTAATAAATAATGTGACATTACAGCTTTTCACGAGAGTTAAAATTAAATAAAGTACTTTTTTTCTTCTTTAACAAACTTTTGCGAAATTAAACGTAAAAGTAACGATTTTAATAATAAGACACAATTATACGATATTGAAAAGCCCTTTACACTCCCCGTGACCACGGCTGCTGCACAGCATCCGAAACGTCGCGCCGAAGTTAAAAATCATTTCCAAATAAGTTTAACTAATATATCGCGTTTTAAACCGTTAAAGTGTTTTATTTAAATAAATAGTTCACTTGGTGGAAGGTGAAAATACCAAAGCCACAGAACACCTAATATGCTGCGCCGCGGACCTATTTTGGCTTTGGATATCGAAATCCAGACTTAAACCGAAACGCGATTAAGCTTCACGGCTGTACCATCTGTGGACGATGCGTGCAGACTGCGTGTACCAGACGAAGTTTCGATATTTCTACCATCCATTTAATATCCTGATTTCAAGACAGCCGAAAATGTCTCATAAAAAACTGTTAATTAATCAAATCATATTGGCCCTGATGGGGATCGTACCTCCGACCCGTTGATTATTACATACTCCTACATTCGTCTACCTATCAAAACTATGGTAATATCATTGGTCTTCGCAGAATTCAAATAAAGAATACTAGTAAAATACACTTTCCACTACAGCACTGTACCTACCCGCTTTTATGAGTAATTTTTATCATTATTACGTCAGATTTATACATATCTCATCGTTGCAAATTAAACAAAAGATAATACGGTTCACTCACAGTTTATACCTACGGCCTTCGATACAGCAAAAAAAATACAATTTCGGTCAAATAAATGCATTTAGCATCACTTGTTCAATAAAGCTTACCTACAGAGGTTAAGGTTTTTTTTAATGACTTAATGGCATAATGACGAAGTATTGTTTACGTTGCACATAAAAAAAACACCTTTGAAAGAAAGAATTAAAATAATTTTTCGTTCTCATCGTATATTTTTACATTAAAATAGCCGCAAACGGTTTAAAACGCGAAATATATAATATTTAACCCCCAAGACGAAAAACGTACACACGCACATAATGACTATGTTAGAAATTGTGATAGCCCTTACAATAGCAAATATATGATTAGAACATCTTGGATTCATACCGACAACTGTCATGTGTGTGGGCATCGAGTTTGTCAAAAATTATTAACTCAATACTACTTACAACGTCGCATCGCGGTGTCTGAGGAATATAAAAAAAAACTCCGCGTCCAATTTCACACTCACGTACAGGTCACTGTATAATAAAACGGGTCACGACGCAGAAGTGTAATTTTATTGCAGTAATTAATACATCTGTTAATGAGACTTGGACAGTTAACGCTTGCCCGTATTTATTTATACAGAGATGTCAAAGTTCAATACGGTTGTCGACACACAGTAATCTACAAGTAGATATACAGCGACAAGTCGGAAAAGCACCGGCTAGTCGAAATAAGTACCGACTAGCCGACATAGCTGCCGACTAGTCGACATGAGTTCCGACTAGTCAACATAGGTACCCACCAGTCGACTTAGTTTTATTCTTATACCACATTAAATACTGTCTATAGTTTGCGCGAGTAGTATACATTTAAATAAAACACTTAAACGGTTTAAAACGCGATATATTACTTAAAGAACCGCCGTCTCTTCCCGTGACCACGGCTGCTGCAAAGCATCCGAAACGTCGGGTCGAAGTTAAAAATCATTTAAAAATAAGTTTAACTAATACTTATCGCGTTTCAAACCGTTAGTGGTTTATTTAAATCTATACCACGTTTTCAACAGTCGTCTATATATTGCGCAATTAAGGCACATTTTAATAAAATATTTACCAGTTTAAAACACGAAATATATTAGGTATTTTTCTTAACTTTAAATTTTATTAACCACGGCACAAATTTTCGCAGATTTTGGTCACGGCTGCTTAAAAATAGGTTTCTCGTGTCCAACCCCTAATAGTGTTATTTGAATATTACAACAGACAATACCAACTTGAAATTGTTTAAAGTTTTTTTCAGGGTATATTGTATAAAAAATCTTGTAAATATTTAACCACAAAATATAATGCAATCGAATTTGTTATTTTTTGAAGGAAAGAAAACATTAAATTGTGTAAAGCTTTCACGGTCATCGTTCAGCGTATCACTGCTTTTCGGACTGTTCGGCAGACGTGAGCGAGGTTCTCGACGCCATCAACGACGACGAAAAGAAGACATTGTTCATTTGCCATCACAAGTAAATAAATTTCCAATCAATTTTTACTTATTTACTTAAATTTGATATCTGTATTTTAATCGCGGCAATTTTGCACTTTAGTTTTCAGCAGCAATTGAGAAATATACAATCAAACCGTTAGTAATCTCTAGAAATAAAAACAGACAAAAAATCAAACGTAACTCGATAACCCCACAGAAAACGACAGATTGTGAAGTTAAAGCTCAAACGATAAGAATATTCGACAAGATAATTCGCACTTTAGCGAAATCTCATCACCTTATACGCACTGCGATACACTATCGAATTAGATAAATCATAACACAAACGCAATGTCAAGGAAAATTTTGCGTTATCTGCGCGTTACGAAATTAATTACCGCGATTAGGTGACCACTAGGTTTGGCTGTGACGTCATGAAACAAAAAACTGCGCAATATTGGTTGTTAGATAACAGTCACTTTATATAATTCAATATTTATGTAGACTGAAGAAAATTACGACACGGGCGGTAAGTGAACCGGCATCGATAGAGTTCCATGCTGCTCTAAGCCAATTAGCTACCATGACGATCTTTTAATTTATATTAATTTAAACGTGAAACGACAATTATAATCATTAAAACGGGCTTCTAAACGTCAGACAGATAAAAGTCATTGAAATAGTTCTCGTAAACTTGACATATAACTTACTTTTTCAAAGGAAATTAAGACTTTATATAAATATATTTAAGGATTGTCTATGGTTTACGCGAGTAGTACACATTTAAATAAAACACTTTAACGGTTTAAAACGCGATACAGTAGCCCCGATTACGGCTGTTAAAAAGCATCCGAAACGTCGGACCGAAGCTAAAAATCATTTTCAAATAAGTTTAACTAATATATCGCGTTATAAACCGTTAAAGTGTTTTACTTAAATATATTTAATGAAGTATCTTTTGATGAATCTTCATAAAGTCTTTATGAGATGATACACAAGATATTAAAAAATAAATTATCTATTTAAGATTTAATAAAATTAAAAAAATCTCTATTTTTTTTATTAATAAAAAAAAATAGAGATTTTTAAAATTTAATTGAATCTTTAATAATATTTTTAAATATACAACAAAAAAAACAATTTTAGTGACCACAAATGTGGTCAGTATTTTTTCCCAGAATGACTCCGAATGTTTGGATAACATAACACAAAGGCTTATAACCGACCACGTGTCAACTTGTAAACAAAAATACAGATCATGTGACTCACATCTGAACAACACATCGACAAACACGACACACATACGTAACCAGTTTAAATAAAACAGTTTTAACGGTTTAAAACGTAAAATTAGTATTAACAATAAATAGAGTTATCTAACATATTGTGCGTTTTAATTTGTTATAAGTGTTTTTTTAATTCTCTAAACTACACACAGTAACAGTCTTATCTTTCATAAAATTGTTACTTTTGAAAACATACCTCTTATTTTCCACTAAACACGATTTTTACACTAATTATTTTTTATGTGTACACATCACAACATTTCACATGTATAAAAACAATACTACATCCGTTTAACACACAATTCATCTCCAACTATTTAGGAATCAATATAAAAAATTATCCACCTGTTTCCATTTTGCCACTGTATCCGCAGATGCGTTGTATTAAAAAAAAATCTTTTTCCGCTCCCCCGAGCAGTACCGCATCGGTCGTTCTAATTGGAATAATTAAGACATATAACTCATGTATAGATAACTTTGTTGAATGTTTCATACAGCAATGAACTAATTTGATAAAACATTATGGCTTTGATGTAACCGCTTCCGAGATTTGCCTTCTAGAATCTTTCGTATTAAAAAAACAACTAGTTAGTCTGTTCATAATTAGAAGGTAGTTTAAATAAGTTATTGAAAAAAAAATCTATAGTGTAAGTTGTAGAAATTAAATAAAACACTTTTGAACGGTTTAAAACACGAAATATATTAAAATTGTGAACTTGACTACAAACTTTAACATATTTTGCGTCTTAAATCAAAAGTGTTCTAGTTAACTGTACACGAATTTACCGTTACCTCAGTAAATCAGTATTTTTCTATTTAGAAAATATTTTTTTTTAAACACAGCACTAACAAATAAATGGATAACCCCCACTTTACTCGTAAGTACGTTCACACATATACCTAAAATTCCACAATTTTAAACAAACCAAGGGCTCATTTCTTGTATTTAAAATATTTATTTTTAAAGCCAAGCCACTCCAGGGTCATGTTGTATAAATACGAAACATACATATATGAAAAATACGAGTGCAATTTGATAAGATTCATTTAGTGTTGTATGTATTCTTACGCAAAAATATTTCTAAATAATATATGATATAAAAGTCCTCAAAAATGAGAGAATTGCTGCATTTACGCATAAACCTCAAAACAAACGAGGCTAGGTCACTAAACATTGTACAATAACAATTATGATAATGTCTAGTGATGTGGTAAACAAACATCGATATATCGATAGCGGCATCTTGGATTCGCTCACGATAAATATCACTTTTATTTTATATACTCTGTGTTAAGGATTATATCCGAGTTTACGTATTTTTGGTGTTGAGGAAAAACTGTTTTCTAAGACGTATTTTTCCTTATCTCTGTTACATGGGAATCCTTTTGAACGAACAAT